GAACGACAACTGTCGGCCTGCCGTCGTGTAGTCGTGCAGCTATCAAAATAGGTCCGTCCATAAGAACGTGTGTATTTTAATATTTGACAGATGTCGTTTGCAGTCTGTCGCGAGCATTGTATTCAACACATGAACAACAACATTGCAAACGTTGAAAGCAGAAAAGATAAACCAATGTTTATTAACATTTAGACGCCGTTTGAAAAGTAGCATTGTAAACAATATATCTACAGAACCCGATAAGTTAATAAAATAAATCATTCGTTTACAAGATTAAGCCTAATCACTTAAAATATATATATTTATATAAATAAATATTTTTACGGCCTAAGACACCTACAAGTAAACTTCGGAACATACAGCTGACTCTGCACGTATTAGCAGTTGTTAACTTGATCTCATGTCTGCTATTTCATATACATTTGACTTGGGTAGTTTCAGTAGCAGATTTTAGGATAATAAATAACTTTCTGGTTGACGATGACAACAACAAATCACACTTGCAAAGTCTCATTGTGGTTTCATCATAGACAATACGTTACAATATGACATTGCCAAATTGAACTCACGCTTAATATAGCAACAAGTGAGTAAACAAATATGCTCAGCGCATTTTAACATTAAGAAATGTTTCAGATCTTAATACTTATTAGCGATTTAATATAATGTTACTAATATGGGTATAGAAATAGAAAAAAATGTTAAATCATTGTGATTTCAACTGATAGATCGCGCTGATAATTTATATATATGCTTATAGCTAAATATAAAGTGTTCAGTRCATGATTATTCATATATATGTTATATAAAAAATGAGTACATAAGCATACGTTCGTATATCTCTGCAACAGTTAACACCATATAAATGACTAAACTTAATCTTATCGCTTTTCACTGGTGTCCTCATCTCTTCCACTTCCAGCATCGMGTTTACAGAATCTCGTGGTACTGAGTACTTGACATTTCATTGCATGCTGYGTGCATATATTAAAGAGCGTAAAATAAYATACATACATATGTATGCACGTGTTCATATGCTATTGCTTTACGTTCACGCATTTTATCATTCACTTTTGTTGACAAAGGCGTACTCATATTTCTGTGGTGTTTTCACCGCGTGAACAGCACAAAAGCATATAAAAGTGTGTGAAAATATCTTTGCTAACAATTGTGAAGTGTTGCTCAGTAAAAAAGAGCACTAGTGCTTGATGAAATCCCGTATTGCTTTACATATTCAGTTTCCTTCCACTTCTCACTGCAATCTTTTACAGAGCACATTTATCAAGCATACTTTCATTAAAATAAAATGGAATAGAGATCCTTAACACTGTATTTTAGCCCAAAATTAATAAACATCGCTTTATTTATATTCTCAAAATTTAAGTATTAAATAACACTGGGGAACACAATTTTTGTTGACTTCGATTTAATACTTGTTTTTGAGTCACTTTTGGCCTCTGAATCCAAAAATAACCTCGTTTTCCGTCTAGCACATCAACTTTTTAAGATACAGAATACCCAATTTGATGCTCATATTGCAACCTAGCCTTTTGAAACTCTCCAAGAATTGGTTGACAATGTCAATGTAGTTCTCTGCTCTGGTATTTCCAAGAAAACCTCTGCCAACCAAGCGTTTTTTTGGAGTTCTGTCATTGTTTCGATGAAATGTTCATCTTTGACGAGTTGCCGAATCTGTGGACCATTAAATAAACCAGCCTTTATTTTTTCAAAAGATAGTCCAGGAAATGCCAAAATTAAATACTTGAAACAGTCCCCTTCAGAGGGAAAAGTTTTAACAAACTGTTTCATGAGCCCAAGCATGTCATATTGCAGCAAATCAGTTACTCTCTTTATGTCTTCATATGCTTCTTGTAAACGAACAGAATAGAACGTAGAATGTTCGGATCACAAAGGTTTTAGCTCAGATCTTGGCGGCCAATTCGACTGCACCCAATGCTTCTCACGAGCTCTGCTGTCCCACATACACAAAAAACAGGGATACTTTGTGTATCCTCGTTGCTTATCAAGAAGGATGCAAACCATTTTAAGGTCAACACAGATGATCCACTTATGCATGTCATATTGCAGCAAATCAATTACTCTCTTTATGTCTTCATTTGCTTCTTGTAAATGAACAGAATGGCCGCTCCTCTTTGAGCTGTCTATGAAAGGTCTCCATTCAGTTGCGTTATATGTTGGAATTCCCAACACATTCATCAAACCTTGTACAGCAATAYACAAATCCTGAGTCATTTCGAAAGTATGGCAGAAATTCACTTTCTCTGGATCGAAAGTAGGATACYTTAGCTCCTTTTTCAAGCAAGTTATTCCCATAAAGTCTGGATGCCATCAGCCCTGAAGCTTTATCTCGTGCCAAATCATTCAACTCATTCTGATGAAATCCCTTTCGAGCAGAGTCGTCTTCAATTTCAAAGTCTTCATCGTTGGAGTCACTTTAATCATYATCACACACCCTTTCTTGTATTTCTGATAGGAAAACTTCGAAAACTAGCACTGGGATTTCAGCTGAATGAGGCACTGGGCGTACAGCCGATAGTAAATTAGGATACTCCATCTTACATTTATTTATTTATTTATTTATTTATTTATTTTTTTGTTTTTTTTGTTTTGTTATAACCTGACGTTTTCACCATACAGAAATAACAGTCACTTGAATGATCTCTGGGCTCTCGCCAACTCATTGGTATACCAAATGGCATTTTATCACATGCTCCCTTAGTCCACATTCGTAAACTCTCGACACACTGCTTGCACACCTTGTGAGGGGCCTGATCACACATTTTCATTTTAAAACACGCTAAATAGGCTTGCCTGTCAAATGGACTAATGTTTCTCATTTGACTTGGAATAGTAAAACTGCCACAAATATATCGAAACGAATCAGCACTGTTTATACACCTTCGATGTGAAATGCCAGAGACAGACATGATCTAAAGCAAAGAGAAGTTGTTCTCAGAAATAAATGTAAAAAAAATCCTCCTAAAAAACCGAACGTAACGTATGAGCACAAACAACGTCTCACCACACAATCTCGCCCGAAACTGAACTTGCTCGTATGGGAAGAAGGGAAAAAATTTAAATTAAACAGTAAAAAACGGTGGTACCAACATTGCTTTCTTCTAGCAGTCGCCGATARGTGAAAATGAGTCGTCTTCTGCAAATTTCTGAGCATTCTAGAATCAGAWATTCTGGAGTTTCCGATTCTATGTTTCAAAACCGGCGGTTTGCGCAGAAGAGTGCACCCATGTTGGACAAATGCTTTTTGAGCCTGCTGTGCCCACGACAAGGAATCGAATTTATTTCGGGAGAGGTTGATCATAATTCTAAGCCTTGCTAGGTTGTAACGTCCCTGTAATTTGAATGCATCACATTCTTCCCACTCTCCCCTCCATTCGTAACAACTATTTTATGATGTGGAACCCCAATACRAATCATGGTTCTGCCACCACCATCTTGGAAGTAGCCACAGTGTGGTCTAGTTCGTCATCCAGGTCGTATCTAGCTACATATTTGTGCGCGGCACTCAGATCAGATGTACACGGTTGCATACTGCTGGGCGGCTCAGCCTTCCCATACACTCCTCCCCTAATAGCAATTTGACTTCATAAGCTGAGATCGCTTGACTATCGCTAAGTATGGTAGGAGATTGATTTCCGTGCCATGACTTATAGCAAAAACTTCTACTTTAAGATGCTCGTAATACATTCCATTGGTATGCATAGCTTGGTGTACAGTCCTGTAATACCTGCCCCAATGATCTCCGATATTTTCTAGTTGTCAGTGTACCACTGGATAGTGCTACCACTCTGTAGTAGATCGAGCGTGGAATCACTCAACTCCGCCTTACTGCCAACTTCTTCTTCGTAAAGTGTACCCTCTTTGTGACGTCGTCTCTGAGAAGAAATGCCAGTGATATGTGTTTTCTCCTAAGACCTTCATTTGTTGAGACGACTTTGTCTTCCCTCCAAGTCCTCTGCCGCAAKGAGCAATATGGAATGCTTCGCTGCCTCTTTGATCAGTAGATGCAGAGGTGTGAGCTCCACCATAACTTCAAGTAATRCGGTTGGTCAATTACGCATTGTCCCTGAAGCGACTCGGGCGACTCGGGCGACTCAGGCGAGTTTTTCCAGCGTTTTTCGCGGTGCCTATGATACTCAAGCAGCCGTACCATAAGTGGCAATAGGCCTTACAATAATGCTATACAGCCATCTAATGATATCTGACTCTCAGCTCCAGGATCTAATAGCTAAGCGTCTGCATATCGTGAGTACCTTGGCGGCTTTTTAATTCCACATGCCTATTCCACCGTAYGGTTGAGTCCAATGTCAGGTATARGAATTTGACCTATTTAAAMMACTACGGCTCCCTGKAGTGTTACGGGCTTARGGTCCRGAAGAGATCTTCGCTTTGTAGAAGYGACGACAGTTGTTCTTGACGAGTTCATATTTAACCCTRCCRTATTGCACYATTTCTYTGCTAGACTTAAACCCCTTTGGACTATRTWGCAGAKAGTATTCTCAAATTTATTTCATGTTATTCTGAAAATTTATTATTTAATTTTTAATATATTCTCGTAAAAGCACTTATCAAAATGAGGAAAGTAAATATATTTTATTTCCTCTTCATCTTGCAGATTTACCAAAATTTGGCGAGCCATTACAAAATGTCACAGTACCTGTGGGACGAGAGGCGGTACTGCAATGTGTTGTCGATAATCTGCAAACCTACAAAGTAAGTTTTTACACAGAAGTAAATATTTGAGAATATACTATATATGCGAAGAGATGTATAAATTAGCAGGTATGAAGTGGATAAAAAGGTTTGTAAAAGTTACTTCTATACAAACTGATGGTCAATTATTCAAAAGATTAGTCATAAACCAAAAATGTTTCATTAGTTATGCAACTAGACCATATAAGTATAAAAGAGTCAGTGAAAGAAYATTTAAACCCAAAATTGCTAAGGGTTCATTGGCACCACAATACTACATTTTCTGAGATTACATAACCACACACTTCAGAACGGACAGGGAGAATTTCATTTCATCATCGATTGGAAGTGGAGTTATTGCGTTTTCGGTGCGAAAATCAGCTTCGAACAAATATTATGGGCCTTACCGGCCAACGAGCTAAAACACTCGTTCGACATGCTTTTGGACCGTGCAGAAATCTGTATTGAAGCAGAAGAAAACTATTTTGAATGAAATGAATTTATTTTGCCGAAAAACCATTTCTTCAGTTTTTTTAAGTCCTGTATACTCTGAAATGCTCCTTGTATGTATAACCCCAATACTCTTCCGGCATTTCTCAACCATCTAAACTTCTAAGAAATGCCAGCGAATTACATCAACGAAAACGGTCAGTGAAGTTATATTCGACTTTCAGGCGCCTCAAAAAGTTGGACTTAGTTAGAAGTTAGAGTAAATATATAAATACGCCGTGTGCATTAACAAATTTCTTTTTATATTATATTTGGTTCAAATCCACAGAAAATTAAGTGAAATRTACATAACATCGATAAAAAATGCTTCGCCGAAGTGATTAAAGAATTATTTGAATATAAATTGTTAGACATACTTTTCAGCAACAACAATGGGCTCTACTTTTCTTCACCTTTCTTTTAGGCATATATTTATATTTATTAATAAAATATATTAATAAAA